CTTTAAATGTGCCCTGAATCTAATTCCTCATTTGCTACGGCTTGGAGCAGCAACTTTGCTATTTATTTTTTAAGGAGAGTGGGGAAGAAATACCCTCACCACCTTGCAAATTGGGGGCACCAACCCTTTTTGTAGCCTGAAAGCCACTGTTACAAGCATGGGGTGGCAGTGGTTTTGATGATGTATTCAGGTTCCCTCCAAGTCTAAGGTTTTGTAGCTGTAAGATGAGAGCCTGTAGTTCAAGGAACTGCTGAAGTGGTCAAACTCTTTGATAAGTTAATGGCATTAGCCAAGCCTGCCAAGCATCCTTTATATATGGCAAAAGAACTGGTCAAGCACAGGTGTGTTGCCATAAAACAACTAGCTAGTGATGTCTCTTAGGGACGCAGGTGGCACTGTGGGTTAAACCACAGAGCCTAGGACTTGCCGATCAGAAGGTCAGCGGTTCGAATCCCCGGGATGGGGTGAGCTCCCATTGCTTGGTCCCAGCTCCTGCCAACCTAGCAGTTCGAAAGCACGTCAAAGTGCAAGTAGATAAATAGGTACCATGCCAGCGGGAAGGTAAACGGCTTTTCCATGCGCTGCTCTGGTTCGCCAGAAGCGGCTTAGTCATGCTGGCCACATGACCCGGAAGCTGTACGCCGGCTCCCTTGGCCAATAAAGCGAGATGAGTGCCGCAACCCCAGAGTCGGCCACGACTGGACCTAATGGTCAGAGGTCCCTTTACCTTTACCTAGTGATGCCTCTAGGAGAAGGGTGTAGGCCTCCCCCCCTCACCTAGCTGGACACCATGTTATCCTAGGGGTAGGAGAATGATAGGCTAGGGCCAAGTGGGGTAGTTTCATTTGGAGCTGGGAAGACACTCCAGACTTGCTCTATGTGATGAAACCAAAGCTTTGAGGCGGCTTCCATGGCAGCCTAATGGGGGAACAAGATCATGTTTTTTATGTGTGTAAATAAAACCATGTATCCAAAAACACCACAATCTCCAGTGTTGGGCAGGGTCAGAGATAAAAAGTGAGCAGAGCAAACAATGTATATTTTACCTTAGTATAGTAGGATAGTTTCCACACACACTCACACAACCCTCTTTATCTCCCATCCAGGCAAGCAAAAGGCATTATCAGAGTTCAAGGACACACTGCGGCCTTTCTAAAACACTTGATGCAGGTGCAATGTAGGGCAGAGAGAGGTGTGGCTTGGGGAGACAGGTTGTAGTCTATTCAAGGGATGTGCTGTGGTAAACTCTGTAAAACATCATGTACACTAACGGCCACCTGATGTGTACCAGGACATAGCTGGGGATCTCTCTATTTTTGACACATCAGAGCTTGAGGAAGGTTGAACAGAAGGGGAATACACACACACACACACTATATATATATAGTGTGTGTGTGTGTGTGTGTGTGTGTCTATAGAATTCATATGTATGGAAGAATAAGAAGAGGAAGAACTGACAAAAGAGTATAATCTAGTAGTATGGTAACTAGTAGTAGCAGTTTTACAGTTTGATAAGGCACAATATTGTGTGGGTTCCCCCCCCCCCATTTCTTAGTTGACTACTGTACTTTGTAGTATTTTTACTACACTATTAGCTAATTATTCTACTGCATTTGCTGTATCTTTATTAGTGTACACTAGGGTAGCAAATGTGGCACTTTCTAGATGCTGCTGAACTAGAACTTCCATCATGCCTCACCATTAGCCTTAGTCACACAATTGGTGTACTGGATTCACAGAACTGTAGAGTTGGAAAGGACCCAGAGGGTCATCTAGTCAGTTTTGAGATTCGCCACCTTTGGGGAATTTCACCTCCTTCTAAGATGAATAAAATAGTCTAGTTAACCAGGGTGAGAGATCCATTTTGAATGCCTTATAATATTCTCTCCAGATGCCATTTGACCATGGTGGTTTGCCCAATTTTAGTCTTTTCATTGCTTCCTTTATTTCCTCTTGGGATATTGGTTGATTCAAATAGTCCCTGTGCTCCTACAACAATGTTTTAAGGCATACTTGAGAGGTAAGCCCCTATAGAAGATTGTGAAGCATTCTTGGAGGAGTACAGGGAAATATAATATTCCTGGAAGATTTCGCCAATCCCCAAAGTATCATTGCGTATTCATCCTTGGGCATCATACATGCAAGTAATCTGATTTTTGATTTTTTTGTGTTTTTTGACTGCATGAGCTAAGAGACAAGAAGCTTTGTTACCAAATTCATAATAAACACTTCTACCTCTCATTATTGCCTTATGTATGTGTTCAGTCACAAGGAGTTGTAGTTCAGAGTGAACTTTTTTTTACAGCCTGACTTAAATTTTTAGATTTTTAGTTTTGTGACTCCTTCTCTAATATTTTAATTCTAGCAGTAAGAGTATTAATTTCAGATTCATAAATTTGAAATTTTCCTGCTTTGTACACATTGCTTGGCTGGTTAAGTGTATTGGAAAATTCAGAGAAGTGTGATTTTCACAAGAAGACTGCATTTCAGTTTGGACCCTGTTTCAGGAGGTGTGAATTAGTTAGGTTCACATTTAAATGCAAATTGACTCCCTCCCTCAATACCTAGCTATGCATATATGTATGGAAGCTGGAGATGTACAAAAGTCCCCCCCCCCACAACAGCAACAACCCTCAGTGGCAGTACACACACTATAAGAACACAAAATGTGCCTTGTTCTCACTCTCTAGTATGACAATTGCTCTTTTTGGCAATGTTTGGCATTGACTTGAGAGGTGTAAATTTATAAATACATACGTGCATATTTTGTGGTTAGCACATTTGGTAGTATCCTGAATCCTGAAACTATTTTTACAGTTAACCCAAATGCAATAGATCCATTCAGAATAAAGATGTTATGCAAAACAAAAACAAATAAACAAACCCAGGATGCCTGTTTCATTAAACAGAAAGGAACAAGAAACACCCCATGCAGAGGAGGATTTTTGGGGGAGGATGGAAATGGCAAAAGTCTGTTCTAGTTGTCTTGCCACCAACAACATTAGATCAGCAAAATCCCAAGCTGGGGTGGGAATAGAAGGGAAAAGGAAGGGTGGGGGAGAGTAGCCAAGTATATCAGAGTAGGACAAAACCAATCACAAAAGGGTGGTGTCATGTTTTGTAAGAAGCATGTTATGTTTCAACCTTTCTCATCACTCTATGGAAGGAGTAGAGAACCTCAGGCCTGGAAGTTAAATGTCTCCCCAGGCCACGTCCCTTCCCAGCCACTCCCATGCTGCACACCCTCCTTGGGTACTTTTTTCATGTCTGTGAGCTCTGAAAAGTCTCTTGCTTGCCTGGATGAAGGATAGAGAGAAGGGTGCATGGTTGTGTGCAGAAGCCAGCCCTCTGCAAATGTAAAACTGATATCAACTGCTCCACTCATTTTGGCATCTGTCTCCACCTACTACTAGCATGTGGTCCCTGGAAGGTTGCCCCAAAGGGAATGTAGTATTGGATGTGCCAGTAATAATGCTTAGCTATGTTAAAAAAAAAATAAGAAAAAACGAGGAGCTATAACTATATCCTTCCACTCTTCTAGAAAGTTCAAACTCATAAAGTGCTACACATTATGTTCTCTATACTAGAAGATCAACCAGAGCTGTTCCTAAGTGAAGAATGTGAAAAGGTACATTCACAAAACAAGGTGGGAATAAAGATGTCTGGTTGGAATCATGTGAGAGGAACTGAATTCAACAGCAGTGCTCTTCCCACTTGTGATTCCCAGCAACTGGTCTTTAGAGGCATCCTGCCTCTGATAGTGTAGACAGTACATAGCCATTATGGCTAGTAGACATTGATAGCCATGATTATGCCTCTTTCTTAAAGCTGTCCAAGTTGGTGGCCATCACTACTTCTTGTGGGAGCAAATGTTATCATTTAATGGGTCCATTGTGCTCCTGTCCAGGAAGGTAGTTCTTTTGGTAGTTTACCAAGTCTCATCTTCAGGTAACATCAAATAGAATCCAGCTCCAGTCATGTAGTGTCTTCTGAGCCTTCCCAGTTCCATTAACTTCCACACCCTGGAGCCATGGAGTAAAGGGAGCACAGGCAGCTGAACAGGCTACAGTGCAGAGCATGTTCATTCTGAAACCGTACACTGGTTTAAATTAATGCTCTGCTTCCAATGTCATGATGGGATATATCCAAATAAGTTCTATTCAGAGTAGATCCATCAATTCTAATTAATGAAAATCAGCCCTGTCCATTAATTTTCAATGGGTGTACACTGAGTAGAACTTACTTGGCTACAATCCTAAGCTTTCACCACACTGTCTTCAGTAGTAAAGTCATAAAGGACTTCATTTCTGTATATAAGAACATAAGAAAGGTCTGGCGGCTGGATCAGGCCAGTGACCCATCTAGTTCAGCACCCTCTTCTCACAGTGGCCAACCAAATGCATGTGGAAAGCAGGACCTGAGTGCAACAGCAACTCTCCCCACCTGCAGTTTTCAGAAGCTTGTATTCAAAGGCATACTTCATTCAATAGCAGAGGTAAAATGTAGCCATCAAAGCTAGCTGCTGCCAATAGCATTCTCCTTCTAATCCACTTTTAAAGTCATCCAAGTTGGTGGCCATTACTGCCTCTTGTGGGAGAGAATGCCACAGTTTTAACTATGCACTGACCACCCTGAATTTCTTTCATTGATTCACAGGGATGGGAGGGACTTAAAGGCATCTAGTCCAACCTCTTGCTCAGTTCAGGATATAGCTGCAGGCATTCCTGACAGATGGTCACACAGCCTCTGATTAGCACTTATATGCTTCAGTGAGGATAGATCTGCTGCTGTTCCTCCTCCAAACTGAGGAAGAATTTAATGGCTATCACATATGCTTGTCCAAAAAGTAACCTGGTTTGATGAAAAGGGTGTTCTACTACTCATGGGAACATAGGAAGCTAACTTAAAACAAATCAGACTGTTACTCCATCTAACTCAGTATTGTCTACATGGACGGCAGTGACTGTCTAGGATTTCAAACAGTGAGTCTCTCCCAGCCTTGGAGATTCCAGAGATTGAACCTGGGACCTTCTGTATCAAAACAGATGCTCTGCCACTCAGCTATGGCCTTTTCCTATCAATTGCTTCTTCTCATGAGGACAGAAGTAATATGATCTACTTCTGAACAGTCCTGTTTAGGAAGCCCCAAAGAAACATTGCAATCCTCTTCCCTGTAGTAATTCAGCATTGAAATACCACCAACTGAGAGTTAATCGTAATATAGTAGAAGCACATACAAGAGGGGTGGGGTCACTTGTGACCCTGCAGATGCTGCTGGAATCCTTCACCATTGGCTAGGTTGGTGTTGCTTGGAGTCCAACAACACCTGGAGGGCACCAGGTTGACATCCCCCCCACCTGACTTAAAACAGCAGTTCAAACTTGGATAGTGTGGTTTCGATAGGGACCCTCAACAGCATTCTTAAAACTACTGTATAAAAAGAACAAACATTTGTTCTGTTTGAGAAAGTGGGAGGGCAGATAGTCCCATCAATTATCTAGGAATAAGTTCCATTGAACTATGCATGGATACGCATGTCTAGGATTGCACTGTTAATGTGTACAGTAAATACATACTTAGTTGTGCTAGGCTTGATTAGGGATGTTCCACTGTCTGAGCTGGAATGTGCTCCTACATCATGATAATGAACAATGGCCGATTCATAGTAAATGACTATAGTGGAAGTATTGCAGGACCCCAGTATATTATTCCATGGTTTTACTTTGGGGGGGGGGTGAAGCAAGCAGGGTTTTGAGCGGCTTCAGAAAGCAAAACTGTGTGTTTACAATGTTTTTGTTTTATAGAGCATGGCATCATGCACAAAGCACTCTGTTCTCTACTCCTTTGTTTTCACTGTTCAGGTCCTGCTTTTTTTTAACTTCATAATTTTATGAAATTAATGCCAACTCTTTTTTTTTTTTACACAATGAAGCAGACAGATGAAGATAGCCTATTGTGCATCTGTTCAGTAGATTTGGGTGGGGGTGGGGTGGACAGATATGGCTTGTATTGCTCTATTGCCTATTCCGCGTTTCATCTCTCTGCTCTGCTCCAGCAACTGACTCTATCACTTTAACCCTTCCCTTTCCAACCCATTTTCTCCCCCCCCCCATAAAACCCCCCACAAAAAAACCCAAATAGTGGAAGGCAATCATGGCCAGGAGTTTAGCAAGGGGGAAAAGGAGCACTTAGGCTTTTCATTATAGTATAGTTCAAATCCAAACCCCTCCCATTATTTGGATCTGGGGAAAGGGGAACTGCTCACCTGGCTACAAAATATCACTGGGTTTTCAAAGTGTGGAAGAAGTCTGGTTCTGCTAAACTGTCCATGTCCAGACACACCCTGTGGGTGCCGTTGAAGGGGACAGGTACACAATACATGCTCTTCCAGATTCTCTGTAGGTGTTCTGGAACCATTAAAGTAGCTAAACCCCAAGATCAATGGAATCCCCAAGCTGCTTTGAAATCTCTCCTTAGTTTTTAAAAAGTAGCTTAAAAATAGCTAAAGTGGCTTTAAAAGAAACTGCAGCTAGTTTTTATGTGCTGCTGCTCCCAACCAATTTTGGTTAGAGAGAAGCAGTGGAGAGAGTTCAAGCAGGGGTGGATTTAAAAACAAAGGTGATAGGAAGAGGGGGGGAAAGGAAGGAAAGAAAACCTTCACAGAGTATGGGTATCCCCAGTGACAATTCGAACTAAATCAAGTAAAAGTTGTCTCACTGAAAAACAACTTAGTGGGACTTAGGCCCATTTATGCACGCACACAACTAGTGTTGTTGTGGCCAGTTCAGCTTCATGTGAAATTTTATTCTTCAAGGTTAGTCCCAAAGGTGTGTTTATGAGGTAACATGAAAGTGAGGCACCTCTGAAGGGCCTGGGATTCACTTGGGTGTGGTAGAAACACATTGGCAGAAAGACTCACATGGATGGTAGCCTTGATGAATTTTTGGTGAACCTCCAGGTTCAATGGTTACTATACCAGCTGGGTGTGGCAGTCAGTGGGAATCCCACCAGCACAAACATGTGCAACCAGGTTTGACTAACTGAAGTCCAGTTGGCTGCAATGGGGGTGTTGTTTTTTCTAGGATTAGACCCAGGGCCTTTAATTGTGTTTCCAACTTGGGATCTTGCTTTTTCTCCACCTTGCACAGCTGTTGTTTTTTTTTTAAAAAAAGAAACTTCAGAATAACTATTACTTTCCTAGATCATGTAATCGTGAAACAAAACATCAAACGTCAGCAGAATAACCTAATGTGTTTCCTACGCCAGAGCCTAGAGGCTTTGCGCTGTGACTGAGGAAAGCTATTCCAAAGATTTATCTTATGGGCTTTACTTGGCTTTCTCTAGTGATTAACTGTGTCATGTGTAAAAGGATATTGAGACTCGGATGGATGCATCAAGAAGTATCAATGATTGTTACCTGCAGAGGTGTTACAAGAAATTTCATCTGTTGCAACGAAGACGAATTGATTTCTGCAAGAGAAGATAAAATTCACAATACTGCTTGCTGACTGGGAAAGCTCCTAGCTGCCGATTGACTTTATGTTTACAGATGGGGGGGGGAGGTGCTTAATTTTAATGAATGCAGAGAGGAGGAGTATTGACATATCCTGTTACTTGAGAGTTTCTAAGGGTCACAAGATTGACATGCTAGGTCCCTTTCAATGGCATAATGGTGACGCTGGAAAATGGACGATACACAAGACTAGGGCATTGGGGATGTCAGTTTTAGCATTGCAAAAGTGCTCATGCTGAATTATACTTCACACTTTCCCTTTTGTAAATGAAGCTACATTTATAGTAATGTATAAACTAAATTAAGGCAAACAATGTTGGTTATAGCACCCTTTTCTTCCTTCTTATTGTTGTTCTTATTGGGGTGGGGTGGGATAATCTAGTAAAACTAACAGCAAAAACCAGCACTGAAAGTAGAAACCTGAGACATTTTGGACCACAATTCATACCACACAGCTCCAATGTCAATATGAAAATAATGGTTTCAGTATCCCACCCACCAAAAACATTTATGACATAATACATGATTCTAATACACCAGATGTAGTGAATCTTTGGCCCTCCAGATGTTGTGAAACTACAGCTATTATCAGTCCTAAAAGCATAATCAATGGCCAGGGATGGGAGTTGTAGTTCCTCAACATCTGGAGGGCCAGAAGTTCCCATCATGTGCAATTCCCATATCAGCACTGATATAAATTAGTCACAACAGAATACTAAGTGACCCAAAACCTTCGCCTGCCCAGATCTTTTGATCTACTTTCTTAAAGTGTGTTGCAAAGAAGGGGACAGAGCTAAGAACATTTTAACTGCTTTGAATAAGGAAATAATGAAAATAACAATAAAAAGGGAAGACCACATATCCATAATCTAGCTCAAACCATCATGCCTCATTTACTCATGCAATCATTCCATTGGAAGGCTAGCAGAAGTAAAGTGTGTAAATCAAGGGCACACTCAACACACCATGCACGACAGCCTAGGGATACTGTGCAAGCACCATTGGAATGAACAGCGGTTGCTCAGCCACAGCGCTAAGGAGACACCACAGTGCCAGTAATCACACATAAGATTGGTCCTAAACCCACTGCAACATAGAAGCCGGTCTCATGCTCCATAAAAGCAATTAAAGAAAAAGGCAGGTGAGATGCTACCTGGGTGGTGGGTAGGTGCCTGTCACAGATATCCTCAATCCAGTTAAGCCAAAGTACTCCAATTCTTTTTCAGCTAATTGTAATGCACCCCCCCCAAGCCAGTTACTCCCAATCTTATTAAAATTAGTGGGATTGCTCTGATCATGGACTGCAACTTAGGGCTTTGTGTGCTGTGGGAAAAGGACTGGAAAATACCAAATTATTACTATTGAACAGGAAAGAGATGGCAGTTGACCATGCTATGCCAAGACCAGTCCATGTTTGCATACACTGTATCGGGCTCTGTGTAGTACAGGCATGCATGGGCAAGTTTGGGACCACAATTCACGCCACACAGCACCAATGCACACTTTAAAACATTGTATTATTGCCTGACCTGAGTACTGAGTGCAAGTGCAACGACAGCACCATAGGAATAAATGCTATTTAAGCTATGGATGATTTTGGACAACAGTAAGAGGATGACATGTTAACTGTTGACAGATACAAGCTGAGTTGAAGCTTGTGCTTATTTATTTATTTATTTAACATTATCACAGGCAGCATGTGTGATGAAATTTGCAAAGTGGCAAGGTATATTATGTGTGAATTGAACAGGAGATATACTTGTAAGCAACCTCTCATGGTCACATGAATCCAAGTACTTCAGCTTAATGAACTGATGGATTGAAAACTGGAACCAGAAAACTGCTTGGCATGACCCTGGGACCTTGCAGTGCATTAAAGAGGACTTGGATGGTTGTGAACTGTCAGCCAGAGGGCAAAGGCCTACCACTATCCGTAGAATATGAGTCCTTTGCAGTACCTCCCCACCCCACCTCAGCCTCACAGAAGTCAAAGACTGCAAAATCAGATGAAGGCCTTTTGATAAGACAGACAGCTCCTCTAGAGAGATGGAGTCAACAACAGTGCAGGTCTTGTTAGCCTACATAAGGCTTCAGTTTTCTTTAGCTCCCTGCTGGGACAACATCTTCCTACTGTTACTTCAGTGAGAGAGAGCAGCCTTCAGATGGGCTCACTTGCACAGCTTCTAACTGGACTTTCCCTGCATTGATCTTCCTTTGCCTGCCATGTCCTGGTTTTTCTGACTTTGACTGGACAGTACCCATTTGATTTGCCCTTTCCTATTATAACGTTACTTCTCTGGATGCTGCCTACTTCTTCCTTGAGCCTCAAGCACCCAAGGAACAGGACGCCATATGAGTTGTATGTTGGCATATGTTTACCTTAATGCCATAAAATTTCTATCCCACTCCCCATATTGTTGGGTCCATTTAGAGTGTATCTAAGTACTTGTTGATCACAGTCAGCACACATTATTTAAGAATTTGATTGATTGGTGTAAAATTTATATTAGGTGGAAATCAAATCCAGGTATCCAAGGATCCCTGGCATTTTGTTCT